AAAATGTAAATAAATTGGCTTTATTCTCACCCAGAAAACAAATTCAGTTTGTTAGAAAACATCAGAATGATTTAGAGAAAGAGAGGAAACAACAAACTAGAGATAAAATCCTCCTGGATTACACAGTATGCAGATGATACAGTGATGTACACTGAGATTAGAGGATGGATGGATGGATGATGGATGGATGGATGGATGGATGGATGGATGATGGATGGATGGATGATGGGTGGATGGATGATGGATGGATGGATGGATGATGGGTGGATGGATGATGGATGGATGGATGGATGGATGGATGATGGATGAATAGATGGATGGATGGATGATGGATGATGGATGATGGATGGATGGATGGATGATGGATGATGGATGGATGGATGGATGGATGGATGGATGGATGGATGATGGATGATGGATGATGGATGATGGATGGATGGATGGATGATGGATGATGGATGGATGATGGATTCGTGTATATTGGTGTGATTTCCCTTTAAATGTGTTTTATGGTCAAACTTTTCCCTTTTGGTTTTACTTCCTCAGTTAAATTGAACTTCTTGATTTTTCATCCAGAGTTCAAACGCAGCAGAAACATCTAGACGACACAAATGCAGATTATTATTATTCAACACCAGTAAATTAGTCCATGTTATTCAACATTTAATTATTTTGAAATGACTTTATGTTGATTCTTACAGACGTTCGATTGGTTTTAAATGTAAATAAGTCTTTATTTTGCTGCTCGGATCAGAAATATGATGCGGATCTGGAGCTGAACGAACGTTTTTCCTGCTCGATGTTGAAATCCTGCAGTTTTCCTCTGTGGAAACTGGAGCTGGAGTCTGGAAACAGCAGCGCCGCCGTGAAGCCGGCTGACGGTGGCATCCTCTCCAGACCCCCCCATGTCTCCCCCCAGGCTCATGCCCCCCCAGGCTGCTGCCCCCCCCCCCCCCTCGCTGGGCTGCGCCTCCTTATCAGCGCTCCACTCGGTAGCTGCAGCCACTCTAAAGTGTGGCTGGGAGGGTTTCTTATCTCTAAACGCCTCCATGGTGAAATAAAGGCTTGTTCTTGGTTTCATTGTCAATATTGCCTTTGCTGAAAGTGAAAACTGTGAGTTTCATTTGCAGCTGGGTTAAATATGAGGATATATTACCTTTACTATTACTTTTTAGAGCAACCTTTCACATTAAAGGTGGTTAAAAACGGTTTACTTAAGATTTAGTGCTGATTTACAAAGTTTCATAAAGAGTTGTTGGAATATTTTGCTGTTAAAATATAAAATATTCCAATAAAACTGTTTAATAAACATTTTTAATCATCAATATGAACAGATTAAACAGAATCGAGCTGCTGCTGGTTTGGTTCCAGCAGGAACTGATCCAGAAACCAGTGGATCCACTAAGAGGGGACCAGTTGGACCAGTGGCCCACCCCGTTACTTTACATGATCAGACACCCTGACATGGAGGCTGGCTTCAAATTTCAGAAGACTGAATTAAAATATAAAATATATAGATCTGAATGAAGAAAAATAGTAAGTAAGTAAACAGTTGTTTAATTTAGCTTTATTTATTTATTTCCCACATATAAAATGACAGAAACATAAAGAATAAATAAATCAATTATTTTTTTCAAACCTTCTACAAAATACTTTAATAACACATTGTGCTTTATTCCTAAATAAAGTGCAAAATATAACTTGAGAGCAATTAAAACAAAATAAAAGAAAACAAAACAAAAATTATGCATATATATAATTTTTGTTTTGTTTTCTTTTATATCCGGCCAGTCATGTTAAAGCTGGAGTGCAACTTAACTAGAAACAACCAATCAGACCCAGGAGGCGGGACTTAGCTCTGCCAATCACAATCTTTTTTCCCATCAGCAGATTCTGTTGTGAACGCTAAGACTAGTTAGCATAGTCACCAATGATGGTGGATAAACAGTGGTAAGCTGTTTCTTCGCTATTGCACATTTAGCAGCTAGTACATGAGATTGAGTGACAGCGCTAAGCTCCTCCCCCTACCTGTGATTGGTTGTGTTTGGTCTGGAGTGTTGCATTTCTTCAGACAACAACAGTAGCTCAGGGATCAATCTCATAAGTAACTGTCATAACATTTCGTTATTCAAATATGTAAACAAAAACAACATATTTGTTTAAGCAAATATGTAAAATGCTTATTTTTCATAAAAATTACATACTGCAGCTTTGACTCCAGTGATATCTTTTTAAAAAAGGATATATGAAATCTTAAATGAAGTGGTTTTGAGTTGTAGAATATATTTTATTTATTCATTCCTCTCTATATACATGGCAACGGGATAACCAAATATGTTAATTTAAACCCATAAAGTTTGTTTTGGTGGTTCATGGCCCCCATTTTCTCCCCCCTCCTTGCCCGCGGTGCAAACTTCCTGGACGCGCCCCTGACAGCAACGTGTGTCCGTGCGTAAAGGCAGAGATGCTTGGTGGCCACGTCCCCTTGGAGACTGGAGACAACACGTGATGAGCTTTACTGATCAGGTTCAGAGGCAGAGAGACACCGAGACACGGCGAGAGACAGGCCGGGGCACGGAGCCTGGAGCCCGGCCACCACTTCAGCCAACCTCCGGAGCGGCAGTTAGACTTCTACAGTTGAATTCGCCTTGTTTGTTTCCTCAGAGAGGAGGAAGAGGAGGAGGAGGAGGAGAGGAGGAAGAGAAGCAGAGCAGCAGCAGTAGGAGTAGGAGGAGGAGAGAGGAGGAGGAGGAGGAGAAGCCGGAGTAAAGTTTGTCCAAGTTTGCACATCCATTCGGAGAAACGCCATTTTGATTCCTCTCCTCTTCGGAGCGACTTTGCAGCTTCTTCCTCCCTTTTTTTTTTTTTTTTTTTTGTGTGTTTTTGGTTTTTTTTTTTGCGTGTGGGGGGGGGGGGGGGGTAGCAAAGAGAGAGAGAGACACGGAGGGGAAGAGGGGGTGGGAGGAGGGGGGGGTCAAAGTCTGCTCAGCCGGAGGCAAGCATCCATATCTGGGTGCACTTTGGTCGGAGCCTCGCTGCTAGTTACCATGTGTAGCGCTATCAGTCCCAGACGGTAAGAGCTGCAAGCTAGAGCTGCTTCTTCCGGTCTGCCTGTCACAATAAAACACCTGTTGAGCCACATCGCTATAAACTTTCGCTTACAGACTCCATTCTGTAAAGTCCGACATAAAAGCAGCATAAAATACCTAAAAGCCGTTATTTCTTATGGTTTATTTAAACAAATAGCTAATTAGTGTACCATACATCTGTTAGTTAACGTGTTGCTACTTAGATTAAAGCTCTAAATTGTAGAAAAACACGTCACTGTCAGCTTGTTATGCTAATATTTGTTAGCTGGTCAGTCCATGTTCCCTCAGGTATGCCGTAGATTTGTTAACGTTCAGATTTTTGGTTAAGAAGTCCATATAAACGGGTTATTACTTCCACTGTGAATGCTGCAACCTTGTTGGGGTGAAAAGTGATGTTTTTGAAAAGAAAAAAACTGTCACTAACTGATCTTGTATAGCTGATTGATTGGTTTATGACTTGTTAGAGAAGGTAAATAATTGTGTTTTTACCGTGAATGTGGCAGCCATATTGGATGTTGTGTTGTGTGGATGTTTTTCGTCATGATTGATTAAGTAAATGTTTTCAAGGATCTGATAAGTTCTGATTACCGATGTTTCCTCTCAGAAAACTGATAGACTGTCACTTTAGCTGATTATGGTAGTTCGTCAGTGAGGATATCAAAGATTGCTATATATATATATATATATATATGTATGTGTGTGTGTGTGTGTGTGTGTGTGTGTGTGTGTGTGTGTGGAAATGGTAATGTAATTGTTGAGTTGTTTTTGATGGTTTTGAACGTTTGCTTGCTTTATTTTGAAGGCCCTCTTCCTCGTTTCCTGCTCTCTTCTGTGCTAAGTGCGTCTAGCTTTGAGCACCAACACGGTGACCTTGCCCAGACACATTTAGCCCTAAATCGAGCCCGGTTCATTTATAAACCGATCCGACGCGGCTGAGGCTCGGTCGGGGAGTCCCTGCCGCTCGGTTTGCGCCAGTTTTTGCGGCAGTTTGTCGACTTTTCGCCGTGTTTCTGACACTTTTTCCAGCGCCTCCCCAGCAGCAGCATCGACGTGACGCCTGTTGCTGCATCCTCCTCCTCCTCCTCTTCTTCCTCTCCAGTCCGTTTTCTGTCTCCCTCCGCTGCAACTTTAATTAAAATCATTAAATCAAATTTATTTTCGCACCGTCAGCACTTTTCAGTCCCGCACCGTCGTCTCGGTGAAGTTCCCCCGGCTCAGTTAGTTGTTAGCCGGGGTGTTTTCTGCGCCGCTCCGCGGCGGAGGATGCTGTTATGGCCGATAAATAACTCCCGTAACTCGGCCTTAACTGGGCCAAAGAGTCCCTTATCACCGAGCCGGGTCAATGATTGACGGCCTGGGTTTGGTTTGGCCCTCGGGAGTCAAACCAAGCGGAGTCTCAGGGCCGGACCGGTTAGATAATGGTTCAACCTGAGGAGCTTTAAGGTCACTTTTAAAACGGAAAACATCCCACTGAAACTCATAAAAGTTAAATTTATGCCCCAAAACAGTAGAAAACAAGACTTAAAGCAATAAAACACCACAGGTAAATAATGTTGGGTCTGAGATGCAGCGATCTGTTTATCCGGGCTGATATTTCCAGTTTTTAGCTCTGATCAGTGGGTCTGTCGTTTTTTTATCTAAAGAGTAAAAATGGCTCCAGAATCCTTTAATATAGGCAGAAACTCATAATTAATACTCCATTTGATCGGTTTCATTCTGGTATACAGAACAGAACTTTCAGAATTTAGCAAATATTTCCTGTCAGATTATTGGTTTTTAATCTGCTCCCCTGGTTTAGTAACATGTAATCTGAGAACGCTCTCCATGTGAAGGACTGGCCTGCTGTTCTAATGGCTCAAAAATGCAAAAAAGTCTAAATTTTGGAAGATTTTAATGAAATAACTGAGCTGGTTCTGATTGACCAGTCTATCTTTATTTCATTTATGAAGCAAAACTAGCAGATTGGAGCAGATTATTCCCATCTTCTTTGTATTTTCAGTTTAAAACAGAACCAGGTAATTATGACAGAAAACGTAATAGAAACTTTTTTGTTTTACAGAATAAAACTTGTAGGACTTTTCCTCTAAACGACATAATTAGATTGTTTTCTGAAGCTGTGACTGGTGTTTGCTGGAACATCTCTACTGTCGGCCATCTTGGTTCCTCCAGATGAAGCTTTCATCTTTAACACTTCCTGTTTTGAGGCATTGAAGCTTCAGGAGCCAGACTCCATCCTGGATGAGCTTTATGAGACAGGATGCAGCGGCAGTGTGTGTGTGCTGCAGCGGCAGTGTGTGTGTGCTGCAGCGGCAGTGTGTGTGTGCTGCAGGATCTCCATGTTGGAGCTGCGTTTGATTCTGTTAACATTTCAGTAACAAATTCAACACTGAGGTCGAGCCGGGCCCAGACTCTGGTTAGAGGGAGGTGGGGGCGGGGCCTGTGGATGGAGGCGGAGCCTGTAGAATGTGGGCGGGACCTGGATAAAGTGGGGGCGGGGCCTGTACAGCAGATGTGGATTCCTCTCTGTGGGTCTGGATGCTGTAAAGTTTCATCATCTGGTGGTTGGATCCGACCTGAAGGCGGAAAACAGGAAGAACAGGAATCAGTGGAGGAGAAGAAGAGTCGGAGGATGCCTCAGCTGTGCAAAAGTCTTAGTCCAAGCCCTGTTTCTTCTGCATGTTGGAGCAGAACGGGGAGATTCCAGGAAATCCTCGGAGGAAACAAAGAGCTGGACTCTTCCTCTCTACTCTTCCCCTCTACTCTTCCTCACTGCTCTTCCTCCTTACTCTTCCTCCCCGCTGGATGAAGTGCGGCGGTGCGGCGCACAAAGAGTGCGTTGTGTTGCCGTGGGGACCGGCTCCCTGCAGTCGGAGTTGTGTAAAGACATGATGCAGCTTGAAGAAGAAGAGGAGGAGGAGGAGGGGGGCAGCCAGCCGACTGACTCCTCTTTATCTGCTCTTCATCATCCCTTCTCCTCCTCCTCACCAGGTCTCTGACCCATCAGAGTGACTCGGAGCAACCGGGTCAGAACCGAGCCTCTGCAGGTTCTGATCTGATTTGACTTCAATGGTCAGGCAATAATTAAAATATGATTTATTATTCAGTAATAAAATAAAGATAATTTAACTGAATCCAGATTAAAAATAATATTGTCTCTAAAATGTGTATTTAATAATTAAAACAAAAAATTAATATTTAAAAATAAAAAACATTAACATTCGTATATATTCAGTAATTTATTATATTTAAATAATTATATTTACAAGTTATGGTTTAGTTATCAGATCATTTATATTTTGTTTTTAAGTTCAAAGGTCAGCCAGTAAAAAAACTGAGCTTTTAATTGAAATACATCAATATTAATTATATATAAATTAAGTGTATTAATAATAATAATAATAATAATATGTATATATTATTAATAAAAGTAGTAATAATTTTATTTCTGATAATGATTGTAATTTATTATCATATAATAAAATAAAAGTGACTAACATAAAAATAAAATTTAAATAATCAATACAGAATCTAAATACAAAGTAATAAAAATAAAACAAAATTGATAATATTTAGTTATTAATTAAATAAGAAATGAAAGTGATTATATTTGCAAATAATAGAGAATCATTTTTATTATTTGAGTCGTTATTGTCTAAAATCCATTTAAACTGGATGATTTTAGTTATTTTTTCTTTCAAATGAAGATGTATTAACATGATCTGTGTAATAAATTCAATAGCAATAAAATATGAAGGGTTAATTATTTAGATGGAGAAACGGAAACAGATTTTTATTTATTTATATTCTTTTAATAAAACGAATCCATGAAGTTAATTAACTGATCAAATGAAAACATGAAACCAACTGGAGCCTCTGACTCATTAATGAAACTAATGTGATGATTACACTGCGCTCACGTGACCGGCCTGGTGTGTGTGTGTGTGTGTGTGTGTGTGTGTGTGTGTGTGTGTATGTGTGTGTGTGTTAATGGGAGTTTCAGTGGGACGTTTGTGTCCAGGGGGACAGAAGTCAAGCAGCTAATTAAAAGCCGTCTTCCTCCCCCGAGACTTTTGTTTCTAGACATTAACCACACACACACACACACACACACATTAGCATGTCGTTACACAGCAGAGAAATGCAGAGCAGAAGCTGCTGATGCTGATGGAGGAGGAGGTGAAGCAAGAGGTCACTCCTCCTCATCTTTCCTCCTTTCTTCTTCTTCTTTCTCCCTCCCTGTTCACGCTGCTCTCTATTTATAGCGCCACCTTTATTTAGATGAGATTATGTTGCAACCCCCAGCAGAGAGGAGGAGCAGGAGGAGCAGGAGGAGCAGGGAGCCACGTTTCACCCATAAACATGAATATCGCCTCTTTTTCTTTAACATTTCAGGTTAAGCCTTGTTCTGGCTTAAAATGTTGGGATTAAATATTTTTTGCATTTAAAAAATAGAGACTTTGTTAAATTTACCAGCAGAGTAATCAGGTAAAGAAAAGACTGACTGATTAGTCGACAGAAATATAAAATGTAAAAATCTGCAAACACAAAAAAGCAGAATTGGTCAAACACAGCCTGTGTTTTTCATAATACAGTGTTAGCTGTGTTTTTAGGTAGCATTGCTAAAAACACATTTTTCTAACATGGTGTGTTCACTAATGTTGCTACCGCTGCTAACTTAGCAAACACAGTAACCTTTGCTATAAATGCTAACATTGCTAACACTTAATTGTGCTAACGTTGGCTCTAACACAGTTAACGTTCCTGATCATGTCAACATTGCTAACTTTACTGAAAGAACTTTTTCATGTGTAATATTTTAAAAAGATCAGATTAAATCTAGTTTTCCTCTCCTGGCTGAGATTATAATCTGCAGTTTCTAAATGTTGCTGAAGTTCTGGTTCTGTTTGCAGATTTCAGGTTTTGATTGGGTTTTTGTGAGACGGCAATGAATGATTCTCTGATGTGGAGGTAGGAGGAGCTGCTCTGATTGGCTGAGAAGCAGACAGAGAGGAAGAGGAGGATGATGAAGGATGGGGGGTTGGGTCTAACACCTCGGCCTGGACCAGATGGTTTCCCACCTTCATCCTCTTCCTCTTCCTCCTCGTCTGAACCGGAACGACCTGAGAAACCGGGCCTCTCTGTCCCGGGCTTTTATTTTGAAACTGTCAGGTTTTCCCATATAACTCTTTAGTTTGGTGGTTTCATAAAGTTTATAAGAATTATTTGGGTCATTTTTTAAATGTGGTTTTCTGTGTCCGAGCCTCACCTTCCTGTTGGGCCTCTGGTGATGTTGGAACCGTTGAACAAGGTGAAGAACGGCGGAAAACGGCAGCAGTTCCGTTCAGTTTGGCCTGGCTCCACCCGGTTCTGCCCGGTTCCGCCCGGTTCTGCCCGGTTCCTCGGCGTTGCGTCAGGCTGTGACTCAGCGTTACGGGATGCCGTCTGAGCATGAAAGTGTTGCTGCTGAGTCATCAGCTGTAGGGACAGAAACAGGAAGTCATCCTGCAGGAAGTCTCATCCTGATGATGGATTTCAAAATAAAATGGGAGGCAAGAGCATGGGTAGTCGCTATAGCAACGCTGTGGTTGCATTGCATTTCTGAGTGGACCTAAAATGAGGAAGTGGTCTCCTGCGGGATGTTTGGGCCGCGTTTCTTCTTCTTCTATAAAATCGATGTTAACGCTGAGCTGCTGCTCACATTGAAATGTTTTTATCATTTCATTTACATTTTCTTCACTTCTCAGGAAATCTTTTCACAAGATCTTAAATTGTTTTTAGAACTTTGTTATTAATAAACAGCAAACAGGCAGATTCTGTTTGGTTTGCTTTTATTTTACTTTTCCAGGTTTATGTATCTTTGAGGTTTGTGTTGAAGTCACAGTGAATGGGAAACTGGTTGATGGGCGATCGGCTGCTTTTCCTGCTGCTGGTTGATGGGCGATCGGCTGCTTTTCCTGTTGCTGGTTGATGGGCGATCGGCTGCTTTTCCTGCTGCTGGTTGATGGGCGATCGGCTGCTTTTCCTGCTGCTGGTTGATGGGTGATCGGCTGCTTTTCCTGTTACTGGTTGATGGGGGATCGGGGGGGTTTTC